TATCATTGAATGTCCAGAATTAGCTGCGGGGTATTGCGCTGAGCAGGACAACACAAAAATTGCTCTGCCGTTTCGTTTTGTTCTCACCGTCACTCATAAGTATGAACCAGAACCTCCTGAATAATTTCAGGTTATTCCGGCCATCTTGAAAGCGTTCGACAAGGCGGCCAAGTTGCAAGTAATGAAAGCCTATGAAAGGATGCGATCGCTCAGGTCTCAAGGACTTTCAGAAGAGGAAGCATGGAACGCTAATGCTGTTGAACTTAACCGAGTCAGTATTTATTTTTTGAACGATTAGCTGTCATTTCCTCTGAAAATTCCACGATTTCCCACTTTCGCCTACCATAAAAATGACGATTTCTAGGCAGCTCGAGTTCATACCAGGCAGTACATTGCTCGCACGTTCGATGAACACGTGAAGTCAATAGTGGACGGACCGTGTCGTGAAGTACTTCGGGATCTCCTTCATCTCCATCTCAACTATGAACTCTTAGACATGGCGTACTACCTGCTTGAAGTGAGTCTGCCTTTATTTCACTTCTTCTTTAAGGTGGACACCATCGACTGATTGATTTAGGATGGCTATTTATCGGGTCAGCAAATGGATTATATGAAGGAAGAAATGTACCGGCTCCTTGCCAGATTACGCCCGAACATCGTGTCCCTCGTCGACTCGTGGGATTTCTCAGATCACGAGCTCAGATCGGTAAGCAGGCATGCGTTTAGCTCTGGTTGGAAAATATGTCACACTTGTGACCGAACACACAAAAATTCCCCTAACTCGGCGTTCACACTTCTGGAAGCGGTGGTCGCTAGATTCTAGGGTGAGAGAAGGTACAAAAAACGTCCTAATGTCTCTCGAATTGACCTAGTGTAGAGTAACCTATGGAGGAGAAAAGAATCAAATCTATATTGACTTCAATAATTTCGTTTTTGGGAGGCGCCATGAATACGACCTTTATTTTAAATCATATAGAAGTCCCAGAATGAGCATTTGGTCTATTAGAAATTGGCTGTGCTAGGGGAGATGCAGTTCAATATCGGATCGAAACAGATCGTTGGCAATTAGCAGGGCCAACACCCAAGGGTAGACCAAGACATGGCGGTATCCAAGCGAAATTTGTTATCTGGAGTATACATATGTGTAGTGGTGGCACCTCTAACATAGTAGCTGCCGCTTCATCCTCAAAGTAAAGAACGCTTCTTCAATAGCAATAGATAATCGTTCCATATCGTAGGTAGTGAGAGTGAAAGGCACAGGCGGATGTAAACCTTCAACAAGCGGAGATTGGGCTGGCTGTTCCTAGAGTTTAGTCAGATGTCGTTTCGAGAGTTTTGAATAACCCTTCTTGTAGCCCTTCCTCTTCATAAAAGAGCAGTAACTCTGATTGCACCTCATCCTTCTAGCAATCTCAATCCCGAAAAGTCGGTTGACCATTCTTTGGTCTTCTAATTTTCTACCAGTGAGATATGGAGGCTACTCTTCACTAAGGAGTGATTTTAGCACTGGTTTAGCGAGTTCGTAAGAGCCTTAGCATATGCCGTGTATTTGCGGAAGTGTAGTAAAAGCACAAAGAGCACAAAATGGTTGAGGCTGTTGATCAATCCGTTGTAGATGGTGTCACATTTATTAGTGGTTGGAAGTGATGCATAATTATTGCGGCTTTTTCCAACAGATTTTATTCAGCGAAAACGACAAAATTATTCAACAAAAACATGTTTAAATAATAACCCCGGAGCGTGGTCACCATCCCACAACATTTGCTTTTCTCTCGGTGATTCCACGGATAAAAAAGTCACGATTCTCGGAGACGATCCACGCTCTAACACTGGCCACCAACGCATCCAGCTCATCCTAAAATTTGTTCGTTTGCCAGTTTTTCAACGTCTGATTGAATTGCTAGTCTGTAGGAGCTCCGCTCGGTAGATGTGGCGTTTTAAACTTCTTGAACGATCCTTCGTCTTGGGTTTTGCTAATTGCTCCCTCGCTGAGAAGTTTGATGAGATCGCGGAATGGCCCCGCCGCCTTCTAACATTTATAGAAGTAGTAAGCATGTGTGGTGAAGATGAGGACAATTTCCGATAAGCATTTCTGTTAATGGAAGAAAGAAGAATATTCTCATGAAAAAACAGAAACTCAAACGCCAATCTTCTCGAGAAAAGAACGCGCGAAAAAAGCCGCAATAATTATGCATCAACCTATACTCTCGTGTCATGTATGACTGTGGCATTTTGCGATGCGACTTGGCCCAACAGGACGGTGTCAGCAATGATGTGCGTCGTTGTTTTTTATCTCAGGGCAGGCGGTTCATTCGACCTCGGCGCAGAGCACCGCCTGCGTTGCGCAGTTCGCAACGGCACGTTGAGAGATCCTCAACGCACGCTGTATGGCGGAGACGCAGACGGCTCGAGCATGCGAGTGTCAATGTTCGCGCGAGAGAACGTGTCTGATCGGGCGAAACTGCGCAACGTGGCCGTTGAGAATGGCGCAAGCAGGTGAACTCTGCCTCGGAAGGGATGGAATACCTGAATTGGTCCCGACGGCGTAATGGATCCTATGATTTGACCCCGGCCCGCGCGCATGGTAAGCAGCGCCCTTGCCTTTACCCATTCCCTCCCGCCCCCACCCTGAAGTAAGGATAATAGGGATTCCTCCGACAAAGTGGATGCACACTGATGATTCTGTTTTGCAGGTGTTGGGACGAAGAGACGGTCACGTGTATGAGAACTTGTACAAATGGGCACAGGAGAGTGAACTCAACCGAACGCAGGTCAGAATTTCATTGACTTATTTCGATAGTTTCTCGAAATTATACTGGTCTCTCGATGGATATGGTCTTTAAATTCGCATCTCGGATTTAATTACCAAATTATTTACCTCTTCACTATCGTTCTACTAACTGTTTATTGTTTATTTGGCAGAGCTTTCACAGACCAGTTTCCTTATTCCAATCCAGTTCCTGTCTTGAGAAGCCTGTTTAGCGTGAAGAGACCTCGCCAGCCCCGATTCACTTTTGCTCTCTCTAGGCTCTCCGGGAGCAACATGCACTTCTAAAGGGAACCCCGCCCACGTCGATGTACGCTCCGCCCGCCATCAGCACTTGTGCTCTCATTCTCCACCGAGCCATACCCACTCTTTCACGGGCTCGGGACGTTCTCGGAGCCAAGTTATAATATTTTGCGGAGTACTTCGCCCACTTTGGTGCACGTTCCACCAACCGGTCACATAGCAATCCCCCTTTCCTCTGCTCCGCTAGTCTCAACCCACATCTTCCCCGATCCCATCTGTTCCGCAGTCAAATTATGGAGGTTCCCAGAAGACTTTCGGCTATCAGTGCCGCCCGTTTCGGCGCGTACTACATCTACCGTGGGCGGGTTCTGCTTTGGTTGATGCGTGCTTTGTACATCTTGGCCCATGCCCCATCAGGTCCAAACTTGACGCAGTGTCTCCACATCAAGTAGTACTGAATTTTGTAACAGACAGATAAGCAGACAAAAAGACCGACGAAGGAAGAGTAAACAGGATCTTATGAGACAGTTTATTTCTGTTTAACTCCTGAGTTTTCATTGCAGGTACTACCAACTTTTGAGAAATACCTCAAACCAATGATGAAACAAGCCAGGGAGCAGTCCAAGCTATGAAAGAATTCGATATTTATTATCCAACTTCAACACCACTAGCATTTATTGTATGACATCCGAAAAAGCTTGACGTTTATTTTGAGACGTTGTGCGCTTTATTTGACGAATGAAATGAATCGTTCATTTTTTATGTTAATTATCATTTTTTATTAAGATACACTTATAAGTGACAGTGGAGGTGCGAAGTATAACGCCAGTGGAGAAAAAACGGGACGAAATCATCTTCAAGGGTGCAAATAAAGCCTCTCCAGTAGCGGCAAGGCGAAACATTATGAAGTGGGAAGGGGGTCTATGGTGACGGCAGTAGTCTATGGTGTTGGGCAGAGCTTGGTGAATTCTTTGTGCCTTAAAATCAGATGTCATATTCATCGTCAGGACCATTTTGAAGCCAACAAGTGGCCGCCAAACCTTGATTGCAAAATTTAGTCGCCGCGGGGGATCGAACCATCAAGGGTATCATTCACCACTTTTTTGATACTACTAAAACCGTTCAGCGAAAACGAAACATGGTTTTTTGGTCCATACATGCGTCCCTACAATATGCAAGAAACCGTTTCAAAAAGCGCGGCTTGCCTCAAAGATCCTCCCTTGTTGGCCTCAGCCTTCCACTTAAAGCAACACCTCAGAATCGAGTGACACACGGCTAATAATAAATTGTGAATGCCGAACTGAACAAAAAACGAAATAAAGAAACAAAGAAAACTGGGGGGCAGATCAAAATACCGTACCAAAGTTCCCTCGAAAGGAAGGGAGCGGAGGTCCAAACGAGGTTGTAGCGAAGCTGCCTGCTCTAGCGGCTCAACTATCCGGCGCGTGTTTGAATTAGCCGCTCCAACCGTAGATCCACAGCAAGCCTTGGTGTGCGCGAAGTTACGTAACTCGTCCAAATGCTAAGATTAGTCGCCAATACTGACTTTGTAAGACCCTAGCGCCATTGTCGCGCACTTTCGAGCCGCGACAACGGCACATCTGTGCTACTCGTGAGCTACTCTATCCCACCCACTAAACAGATTCTTCGACACGACTTCTGCTAGGGTGTTGCTTTGAGGTCAAACGCGCGCCGTGAGTGCATGCTCTGCTCTCCTCCACGCAAGAGCTTCATCTCGATCAGATAACCCGCGTTTTGCCATCACTCTTGAAGTTGGTTTGGTCAATTGTGCCTCGCATCGGTGAAGGTAGTGCAGTACTGTTTTGCCATCTAACACATTGACGACTGCGTGGCAACTATGTATACCGCGCCCAACACATCCATTTTTCGCGCATGCCCATTTGATTCCTATGGTTTTTGAGTATTGTAATGAAATACAAACCTAAACGAATGGCAATGTATACATTTTGTTGAAAGATCACGTCCAAAATAATTTTGAAATCGCCAAAAGTACGTAAAAGTTGCTTTTGCTAAAACACGTCCTGTCCTTCTAGGCGAAATCCTTCCAATTTATCTCCAGAAAACTGAGCACAGTCCACACTGCTGAATTAGTTACTATAGTTTGTGTATTTACTCGCCAAAACCCACATGTGAAGTGACGCCATCCTGTTCACAAATTGACGTGTTTTGAATCCTATAACATTAGTTCTTTGATCGCTATTCATCATTCGCACCAGGCACGCCAGAAACGTAAGTCGTACATCTTCCAGGCCGCTCTGCTTCGGACTCTTTTGCGCCACAACTGGCCGTACAATTTCAGGGTTTGCCCATCGGGTGGAGGTCTGCCTCTGTTTTGATCTCAAGTGGTAAAAAGGCAAAACGTGCGAATTTCGTCAATGTGCTGAGCTGAATTGTGATTTAATTTCTAATTGGCGCTGCCGTTGGAGTGCAAAATGCTCCAAACTCCAAACAAGTTATCTGATACATACATTTCTGTTCAGCTTGTTTACAATCCATGGAGGATTTGCGATTATAGAATCATATTTATTAATCTGATGGAATTTGAGAACAATAAATTATTCAAATGGCAGCTGATCGATATAAAAGAGTCTGTGATCTAAGGGATAGTACTTGAAAGACGATTACAATTTGCTGTGTTCACGAGCTTCCTTCATCATTGGCTTGAGGTACTTTTGTCAAAACGTTGCAAGTACCTAAATTCAGGAAAGTAAAATGTCTTCTCAAGGAATAGCAGTTATTTTGTAATCTTGATAAAACGCGATCATACCTGAGTTCGATTGAGTTCGCTCGCCTGTGCCCATTTATACAAATTTTCGTATACATGGCCGTCCCTTCGACCCAAGACCTGCAGAATTACGAGTTAAACACTAGCGTGAAAAGCACAAACTTAGGTGGAATGCTGGTGGCCGTCAAACAGCCTGTTTGTAAATGAATTTTCAAACATGCACGCGAACGGTCCGACCAGGTCAAACCGTCACGTTCAACTTTCAAAAATTTGCGACTCCCATTAAGGGGGTCCGCGTATGCAACCCCCCTTCATGGGAGGTCGCAAAATCACTATCATCTAGCATTAGCCGCAACCTTCGCCCACTTTTCCCGTCACCACGACCGTCTACTGAGGGGAAGGGGGGGGTGGGAAGAAGGGAGGGTTAGACGTGATGCGGCGAACCCACCATTTTGCCTTATTTTTACTACCTTCTAAACCATTTTTGCCTTATTCTTACCACCTTCGTCAAACTTTCACCAAATTCGTCAAAAACGCCAAGCCCAAACCCCTTTAATGACCTCCGCCCTCCGTGTTCACCATGTTACCCTTGTTCACCCCCAGAACCCCTCACCCCTCACTCCTCCCCTTCTCGAAACCACAAATGCGACCATTGTTTGAATCGAATAGTGCGAACGGGCGGTTGACCCTGCCTCGACATGTGCTAAGCGCGAGCTTGGTAACGTGAGCGTTTAGAGCGGTATAAAAGCAATTCTCCATGGCAACAACCTGATCAGCTCTTACCACCTGATCGGGAATATAAATGTCTTTGGATGTTTCATGGACTAGCGGGTCATGAAGAGCTTAAAGTTAAAGGCACAGGGGACTGGATCCTCACAGAGGTCCTCTATTCTCCGTTTATTAGATGGCAGGGCACTGTCGCGACTCCGCGCGACAAGAGCGCGGAGGTCTTGTCTAGATGGCCGCTTTTCTCCTTCTTTCATTTTCGAACGCGACAACACTCCAACTAAACCGCTGCCCTTGCTCGAGAATCATTACTTAGGCAAACTTCAGGATACTGCCGCTTAAAATGAAATGCTTTTTTTGAATGAGCAAAATATGACGATAACAGCATCAGCATTCGACGACTTTTCCAGTCAGTTAGAGGTAGGCCTCATCATGGAAAGTGGCGTTCGCCAGAGTTATGGCCTCCTAGGTTGCGATGGGTGCACCCTTCGCCGCGACACAAGCCTTTTCTTGCTTCCTGCTTCCTTGGAGGGGGGGGGCAGCCTCTCTTTTTATTAGACGAGTACCCACCGAGAAGCCCACCGGGAGGCGAGGAGTTGGGGATGCAGTGAGATCAGTGGGCTACTTTTCCCGTCTACTGTACCGTCGATTCATAGGCTGTAGTGAAGAAGACAGGGTAGACAGTAGGGAGGGTAGGGTAGGCAACTTGCCCCATGAACCTTCTGCCTCTTTATGCCGTTACCACTCGCTAGGCTTCCTCACGGGTACCCCTAGCAGACATATCTTCTTCCACCTTCAATTTATCGTAACATCCACCTTCAATGAAAGAGCTGAAGTGTATAAGAGACCTTGGCTTCGGAAGGGTGCTGACTTAGAGGAAGGGGGCACGCTATGGTGCGGCGTGTACGTCTGCACCTCTAAGGACTACTCTAGGGGTCCCACCGTTTCACCGTACCGTGGCAGTTTCCATAAATACCATAGCATAACAGATCAAGCCTTAGAACTGCATACGAACAGAGCGCTGCGCCACCGCTTGGTCCTTCCCCCTCTAACTAAGTTAGCAACTTCGGGACTTATGTTCTTTGATTAAATCTTCAACTCTGTTCCATTTGACGGAAAGTGTTGCTTTAAGGAATTTTCTAAGAAACTCGCACTCACCGATCTTAACTCGTGATCGGACACATCCCACGAGTCCACCAATGAGACGGCATTTGGCCGAAGTTTTGCCAGAAGTCGATACATATCCTCTTTCATATAATCCATTTGTTGGCCCGACAAGTAGCCATCCTAAACCGCTAGTCGCTTTAAGAGAAAAGTAAACGGAGAATTTGACTGTTACCTCGAGGAGGTAGTACGCCATATCTAAGAGTTCATAGTTGAAGTGGAGGTGGAGAAGGTCACGAAGTACTTCACGACACGGTCCGTCAGTGACCGAATTCACGTGTTCATGGAATTTGTGGGCAATGTACTGACGAGTATGAACTCGAGCGGCCTGTAATGATGGTAAAGAATTGAATTGAACTGCTGATTTTTTGAAAGGTGCCACAAATTCACCCGATTCAGTTCAACAGCGTTGGCGTTCCACGCGTCTTCTTGCGATAGACCACGAGCTGTGAGTGCTCGCATCCTTTCGTATGCCTTCATCACTTGAAGTTTAGCTGCTTTGTCAAATGCCTTCAAGTGGGCACTGTAATCTGAAAACTTTCAATCAATGGGGTTTGTACTGGCGCCAGGTTGTTTCGACCAGCGGTAGAGTCGTTTAACACTGTGCTTCAATTCAAGCCACACTCCCCGAACAACTTTAGTGTAGAACAGCGCTCCGCTTGCGGCTTATACGTGGCGGCAGGAACGCTTATCAATGAACAGTCCCTCCTGCCGCAGTGTCCCCTCCACGAATTTCACGTGACGGACTCACCGTGGTGCCTGATCACAGTTCCCCTCTCGTGCCTCTTAATGGTCCCCGACTGCCTCGTCATTTATCTAAGCGTCCGAGCAAACTCCGCTGAAATTAACCCGTACACAACTTGCACACTTCAGTTTGTAAAGCGAGAGATCACGGTGGCTGGAAGGTAGTGCTCTTTTGATGACTCCATTGAATGTCACTGTTGGAAGGGCATTGAGAGGCGTACAGCTTTAGTTCACCAATAACGTTCAGTGGTCTCCATCAAAACCGCACTGCCTCCCCCTCCCTCCAGCATCGCTGATCAGGCTTTTGAGGAAGCTCTTATCAGTCGTGAACGTGTTCTAAGCTCTTCTTTTTCGATCCAATTACCCCGCTGTTTTCGTTGTGAGCAACGAATATTCACTTCCAAGGTATTAGGAGTGGGGAATTTTTTCTCAAAATGTGACTGGGATGGGGAACATAACTCGTAGCGTGCCTCGGCACAGTCGGTGGCGGTTGGGCTGAAGGAAAAGTAGTCGTTGTCTGGCAGAGTTACGCTTAAAGGCACAGCTCAGGCAGGAGTCATGTGAACGCTTTCCTGAGGTCCTTAGGATAGACTTCAAGAGGACACACAGATGTGCCACTCCCATGACATAAATTACTCGACAAGGGTGCTGGGGTTTGCAAAGTTAGCTGCAGCAGCTGCAATGTTCCCCGTTCGCAGCAGGCTGTTGTCTGGCGCCCTCTCATCTGTTGCGCTCTCTCGCCTCATACTCTCCTCTCCGTCTCTCATTCCCTTAGCACAGCCGATTACGAAGGTGAGCAAGCCCTTCAACCTGAGCGTTTTCGACGGATTCTTTTCCTTTTTTTACTACCCACCTTTTCCGCATCAATCTTTTATATTCGTATGCATGAAGCACACCAGTTGGATCCCAGGGCACGCCTTAGAGGAATAAATGTCTTACCCTAGCAGAAGGTGCTCTCAATCCATATATGTCTTGAAGAGTTAGCCGACTCAGTTTTTTAAGCATTCAAGAAGTGTAGTGCCCATGCAAGAGTAGTGGCAGTGATTAGGTTAGCATACTCATCCTCTTAGACTAAGAGGAGAAAAGGGAAAGTCCTCAATTGATTCGTAGCTCAATTGGTCAGGGTGAATCCGAGCTTCTAGAAATTGTGTGACTCCAATACGAAACCGCTACATGAGCAACAGAACTACATGTTGCCTACTGCCCCGTAAATGAGAAAGAACTGAACCTCGCAGTGCTCTGGGTGACCAACGAAGGTGAACTGAGATCCAGCCGCCGGGTGATCGCGCTAAGATATTCTCAGTATTCTGCACGAAGAGCAAACATACTGGTGATGACAAACAAGTAACGTTGATAGCAGATACCGTAGCATGATTGACGATCGATTGTTGAATTGTCTATCGCTAGGTTCCACAAGGTAGTCAACGAGTCTTCCAAGAGATCGTCCTTTCTGAGCTGCTTCGGCTGCTCGCATGAGGTACCTGTAAGGAAACTGTCTTAAATAAATTAAGGAAACCGTCTTAAATAGGATTTCGACAGTGATGGGCCATTCCAGTGGCACCAGAATGTTTGAATCTGCTCGCCTAAGACTAGTTTGATACTTAGATGATTTTGCTATCAAAGATTAATCAGCTTCCTCAAAACAGACAAAGAGTGTTCCTGATATTTGATTAAGAAAGGAAAGAAAATTGATTTTTAAGAAATAAATAAATAAAAAAATAAATAAATAAATAAATAAATAGACAAACCTGGCGAGTTGCTGGAGCATCACCATATTCTCACCCTCGTACGTGCAACCACCAATGGCCACACCTAGGAAAGACCATTTGCTTCTCAAAATAATGCTCAACTTAATGTTATCGCTCACCGTAGAGATCCGGTATATTGCTAGCTTTCGAATATCCATGGCCACCACAGCTCATGCGAGCCTGTTCAATACCTTGACCGACTAAATGGGTAACCACCGCCTTGAGACCTGACGTTATGTAGTGCAGTTCGGCCATTTCATCCACCTTAACAAAGTTAAGATTTTTATTCCAGAAATTCAGTCTATTAAAAAAAAGGGAGTTGGAAAATTTTTTGAGACAAATGCGGAAAGATAAAAATATCTGAATTACGTGGTTGTATTAGGTCTTTGTATTATTATTTATGGATTATCGATCCTCAAAGACCAGGAGCAGAGATGCTTTAGTGGTAAGTTGAATCGTATACCAGGCCTGTGGCGAAGAATTCAAGTCAGAAGGTTGACCGCATGCTTAATTGCTAAGACGAACAATCGATCTTTGGTGTCCTTTGACAAGGCCTTGGGATAGAGAGACACGCGAACTTCCCAAGGCTGTCGGCTCCTCATAAGCCACCATGGTAGCAGAACGCTTTTCAATAACTCTCATACTTTTCTGAAAACGAATGCATGGCGGCTAATTCAAAAAGGGGATAAAATCGACGCCAATTGCTGTGAATTCTTCAGTCTTGATTGAATTGCAGTAGAACTACCACGGAGTTCTTTCATAATTATGGGGCGTCAGAATATTTCAGAGCTTCAACCTTATTATAGGTCCCACACCAGTTCACGAGTCACATAGGGTTGAAAGATTCGGATAATTTGGAGACAAGTTTCGATCTCGGATATACTACGCTGAATCTTTAGCTACTACGCTGTCGTGAACCTGGTGAGCTGAGAATCTTGGATTTTTCGGCACAATCGCAGTGAAAGAGAGAATCCACTACTAGGCTTGCTATAAGCTTTCGTCAAAAAATCCTTATCATCCTTTGAATTAGGTGAACTGCAATATCAACAATTATTGATTTCGTTGAGCTTGCAAGTAAAATAGCTGGAAACCTGTAAAATACTCTACGGGTTGCTGATCTCATTCTTGGAGAAGCGGGCTTAGCTCTCTCAAACAATATACGAATGGGTTCGAAGTGACTTATTAAAGGAATCTTGCGCGGAAAATTCTTGCACTCTTTCCTAACATGAATATGTCAGTTGTGATCACTGGAAATAGCACACAAAGTTTCACGCATGAAGATTCGGTTTCTGAAGAGAAACAAACGTACAAAAACTACACGTTATGGACCATCGAAGGACCAGGAGGCAGAGCCAGGCGAGGCATGGAAAGAAGACGGCGTTTGGCCGGCTACGTACCAGGCGACGCAATGAGAGAATCGGGTTAAAGCGCGCGATTTCGGAGAGTGGAGACAAATCGATCGATGGAATAGGATGGAGTAGAAGTGTAAGATGTGAATGCAACGAAGCAGAAGGCCAGAAAGAGCTTCTAGTGAATGCACTCCAAGAACCAAGTTTGAGCATCCCCGTCGCCAGCATTCGTGAAAGACGTCCGTGGGCAATTCGAACGCGTAGCAGCCTTTTCGAGTTTTCGAATTTCTAATCAAAACGAAAGCAATACTTCAGTTCTTTTCACTATTATCGTGGATAATGAGTCTCAAGCCAGTGATTTATGGCTGAAATAGAATCATGATTTTTCCGCGCAAGATTCCTTTAAAAAAGAAAGAACAATCGTAAAAACTTTAATTAAGGCCAATTTTTTGGTGAGGTGGACAATGTTATGACGAAGAGACGACAGACGCTGAGAAGAGAACAAGAGCGAGAGAGCGTACTAGAATGAGGCACTGGACCAGCGCACCCCTTGCGGAATACGGTCGGAGCACTGCAAGGCCGTCAGAGCCCAAAATAAAACCTCTAGTAGCGTTTAACAGCGAGAGTACCTCTACCTTGCGGTCACGCTTTCATAACTATCTTGGTGTCATACGCAATTTCGTTTCAAGTCAAACCCAGCCGGGGATTTGCGTTCGCTGGCATATGACAGTAATAGAACACCGAGTAAAGAAGAACTGGTGCAGCTAAAAGAACATCGAAGCATTCTCGGAGGCATTCATTCAAAACAATACTTGTATTTTAAAAAATTAATTTCAAGTTGATACAATTGTCAGTTGCGGACTTGGCAAAATAGCCACGAATACGCCTGTGCGCCTATTACTTGCCTATTAGCAATTATACGAAGTTAATACGGGGGTAATTTGAAAAGGGCGGAAGTGGTGTAGTGGCAAGTGGCACGCTTACCACGCGAGCGGTCCGGGGATCAAATCCTGGGTCGTGAGTCGCCCGGGCCAACCAAGCCTTCCATCCCTCCGGGGTCGGTTAATTGGTACCAGACTTGTCTGGGAGGATAAAAAAACACTGACTTGTACATCGGCTGGCCCCCGCAAGTCATTGTATAGGCCACATCGCATTCAAACGCCACTACGAATGTACAAATGGAAGTAGAATGCGTGCCGCATCCCAAAAAGGGATTGATCAACGGCAAATGCTTTATCCTTTTTTATTAAAAACTTCCTAACTGTAAAACAGTATAATCTGAACGTCAAACCGATTGCTTTCTGAGCTGTTGCACCGCACCTACGAGTGGATAAATAAATTAATAACTAACAAAATAAATAAAAAATAAATAGGCGAATAAATAAATAAACAAATGGATAAATTGTAATTTTTCTGCATTAACTAAAATACTTACTTTTCCTTTCAAGACATCCTTCCGCACCCTCAAATATATGTCCCTAACAGCTTGTCCAGTGAAAACAAAGGCAAAAGCTCGAGCAAGTTGTGGCAGGAGGCGATGCTGCTGTGTTTGGTACTCGAGGATCTTCACTTCTCCTCCTCTGAACATGGATCTTTTATTTTGATAAAAAAAATTCACTCCTTCGTTGATTTTCATCTTGTTCCATAAGAACATCACCGGGCTCTATCCCTATTCAGTAAGGGCCCTTTTTTCAACATAGCGTGTACGCCATTGAGGAGTTGAGGCTTGGGGATTCCTGTAACGTCCCTATGTTGATTACTAAACAGACTTGTCTGGGTGAAGTGAGTTGACACACCTTAACCTTCCCATATAATTGCGATTTCAGTTCCTTGCCTCAATTTCCCTCTGTTTGTCTCTCTCTGCTGTTACTGTACTTCATAGCACATCTTGAAGCGGATACAAATAAGGAGCCATTGGAAGGATAAAGGAGGGAAGAGGGGTGGGTAGCTTCAACTAACACCAAAAAATGATCCCTGTCCAGCGTCCAACATTCGATGCCCGTAATATTACTTACCCGGGTTTAATCTCTCCCTGACGTCGAACTGCTGAGTATCGTATGGCGGTGGTGAGGGCCTGAGCAAGGAACCTTCCCTGGTCGGAGATCATGTAAGCACGAACATGCACCATCGCTGAATAGCCAATCTTAGCATGTGGTGGACGAGCATACTTGCCATCAGGCGTTACCTAAATCAATCAATATTTATTTGAAGCACTAAAATGAGTTAGGTATTGGAGACCGACTTACTCTGGCGTGCTTCATAAGCATATTCTTTCTTGGAATACGATAATGATCAAAGCTGAGAAAGCCATTGTCGATTGGGCCAGTAGCCATTTTTGGGCCAATGTCTCCGATAGTGATTCCTAGATATAAGATGTAATATCTATTCGAGCTTATATAAAAAAAGGCCGAGTGCGGTGATACCTTTAAGAGGCATGTGTGTTTCAGGATCCCTCAGCGGCACGATGAAATTGTGAGGACCGAAGTTTTTACCGTCGATGATCAGGCAGGCAACCACTACAGCATGATTCGCACTTTTGCCAAGGTTTCCGGGCCACCTTTAAAAAATTCGAATCAATTATTTATTTTCATTCATGAGCCAAAGTGAAAGTGATAAATAGCCTCATGGGCAACAAGATCGATTTGATTAAAACGGAGGATCGAGCCCACATTTCAACATTTTCCGAGAGGACTTTCTACCACATTATTTCCAGCAGCTCGAAGTTTGAAGCTCTTATGAAGGAGTTTCTCAGCTGTCAGTAACGCCAGTCCATGTCCTCGTTCAAGCACTCGTGATCTTCTTCTGAACCGGTAGTTAACCTATAAAGTTCAGGCCAAAGCAGGTCAACCCTATGTTGCGACAAGTACCAACGAGGGGGTTGTATTTTGCTGAGTTTGTAGGTGGGAGGTTGTACTCGCTCTGGTCTCATGAATTCCCCCCCCCTCACCCCCCCCCCCCGCTCGACGGCTGTTTTCGGAGGAAAAAGTGGGTGGAGTTGGGTGTGTCGGAATTGAATACTATAGAAACAGCCACCATGATGGCGAGGGTGGTGAAGGGGGGGGGGTCGTGGAATTTTTGATTTGAAGGGAGTCGTAAAAAAATTTCCGAAAAAGTCGCAGCGGTAGATCCGACCCTGCCGAGCCCTCTTGAGCGTTTTTATGTTACATCACGTCGGTTTTGCATGAAGTATCCCGGGCTCACAATTAGTGTAATAACCTTTCTTTCTCGAACAATTCCTATGAAGGATAATTTAATCTTTTGCGAAATGCCCCAACCTCACAACATGGAGCTGCCACCTCAAAGGATCCAGCTAACCGTGCAAATTTTCTGGGAGAAAGAAGAACCTTGACGGGTAGAGTCTAGTAAGCGGCGATAAGGGAGCTGCTGGAACGTGAAAGAGCCTTGCTCGGCGACGCTGGCAGCACAAAACATACCATTTCATTGCTGTCCTCGTGGGCTGTGAAGCACGAATTCTTGTGTCTGCGCGTCATAGGTAGCTGTTGTCTCCAGCTTTCTCAGATTTGAACCTGAAAATTCAGTGTCAGCATGCAATCATTGAGCTTGAAAAGTATTCGATGGCAATAAATCTCCATAATACACGAATTCTTACTAAACACACTTCATTAGATCATAGGTGGAAACACTCAGAGTAAGCTTTGCCATCTCGAAATTACCCCTAACTTTGGAAACAGAATGCAGTCCTTACCGTGGCCCAACTCCGTCTGTGCGTAGGTACCGATAATCTGCCTGGATAGTGCCTGCTGTAGCCAATGCATCTGATCATCAGCGCATTGAGATTGAAGAGTTGGAATGAACATGACATGATGAAGTGCCAGTGGAT